ATTTTGATGCAAATGTTTTCTTCTATTAAGTGTTATGAAACTAGATTCTCTATATGGATGCAGTGTCTCAGAGTCAATCCGCCTCGAGAAGAGCAGGGCTACAGTTTTATCTGGATTAAGGTTAATTCCCCATTTTTAGCCCAAATTGAAATTTTCCTTATATCATCATTTAATGTATTAGCACATTCTTGCCTGTCTCCCTCAATGAGACCATATAAGGGGGTATCATCAGCAAATAGTTTGACGTTTGAGGCCAATTCATCACCAATATCACTAATATATAGTAAAAACAAAAAAGGACCAAGGACTGAACCTTCAGGTACCCCTGCCTGTAATGTTTTCCAATTAGACTTATACCCACCTATGACCACTCTCTGTTGCCTATCATGAAGGTATGATGTGACCCATTCTAATATATTATCACATATACCATATTATTTTAGTTTATAAATTAGACCGTCATGCCAAACTCTGTCAAAGGCTTTGCTTATATCACAGAAAATCATTCTGGCCTCTTTGCCTTTGTCTAAATGTTTTACAATTTCATCGTATATAATTATTAGTTGATACACTGTGGAATACTTAGGTAAAAAGCCTGACTGATTCTTAGAAATAATGTTATATCTTGAGAGGTAATTGAACATATACTTAAAAACATTTTTTTTCAAATAGCTTGCTAAATATAGGGGCAACAGATGTTGGGAAGCGAATAATCCTAACTAGTTTGGCTCTGCCGTCCGAAAACACATCTACGAATGGAATATTGTAAAAAGAAGCGTTCTTCATCATTGAACTGGCCGGAAATATGGTGCTATGTAAGTGCAATGGTACAACATTTTGGTGGACAGTTACAAGGCACTGAATGGAACAGCTCCTCAGTACCTGCAGGAGCTTGTTACCCTGTATCAGCCGTCACGATCACTGCGGTCGAAGTCAGAATCATTGTTGCGTGTCCCAAAATCTCGTACTGTGACCTATGGAAACCGGTGCTTTGGGAGGTACCATCTGCTCTTAGAAAATCAAATACCCTGGCCAAATTCAAAAGGGATATCAAAACTCACCTCTTCGTATCTGCATGTTAGGGTCTCAGCAAAGACGTCATGTAAACACCACCCTTTATTTTGTAACGGATGCGTGCCTTCAGCTCGTTACCAAGTTCTATCTTGGACCCAGTAATTGTTGTAACAAATAAGTGCCAACAATATATACAAAATAATGTCCGTCTATCCGACTCGAATAACTATTACCTAATGATTCAACAAACTACTGCCTCAAATCACTACTGCCTAATCTACACCCGGTAGATATTTTACATTAATATTGATATACCTCTAACACTAACATAGTCAAAAAGCCAACTAAAACAACTGTGTCACAATGTATCCGTCACCCTGTATCAACAGTAAATAGCCCATTACTGTGACACCCGTGACTGTGTACACCCTTTACCGCGACACACCTTGACCACGTCACCCTTTACCGCTACTGCCTCTTCACCAAGTCACGCGCCCTAGGCACTACGACACCTATGCCTTGGTAAACCCTGTGTCTTGGTACCTGTCACTCTGTATCAACAGTACGTCGCCCTGTACTGTGATACCCTGTGACTATGCACACTATCCAGTAACACAATTTATTTTGACCATGTACTATAAAGGAATACAGTGGAACCCTAGCTTATGCAGCTAGGCCCAAACTTATACAGCTTGGTCACTGATTACCTTTTTAGAGATGTTCCTTCTTCTTCGACCGCCAAAGCAAGAGAGACCTTTTCATCTGATTGATAGATTGATTGATAGGTTTTACGTCCGCTTCACTACCGCGTATTTCGGTTATCCAGCAGACGAAGAACAGAAAGGAAATGAGTAGAAGGGATAAAGTATGGAGTGAAAGAGTAGAGGAGGGGGACAGTTTGGAGAAGGAGCCGTCTATCCTATATATATTAACTGTATAAGTCTAGTTTTTGTAAGACGACTCCTATGCCTAATAATGCCTTAACCTAACACTCATCGTACAGCATCACCAAGTCAGGACCGGAAGTGAGGTACTGTGCCGCCTCCAGCCACACCAGCGCCTGCCTATTATATGAATTTGGTTTGTTGTACATATATATATATCCATTTGTAGTTACTCCTGTATACATATATATGAGCGGTTAGACATAAGATTGCTGTGGGTGGCAGACTCGTTCGTAAACGGAACTACCCGCACGTGGTCAGAACACATACGTTGCAGCTTTCTTACATCAACCGGAAGTGAGATGTTTTTAGGTGTTTTGAATTTATAATATGTTTATTAGTCTTTGTAAGATTATTTTACTTTGTATATTATTTTGAGTGATTGGATATTTTTGTTATTACACTATTCGCTGAGTTAGATAAACAGATATTGATTATTAGTTCATTATTCGTTTATCCCGTTATTCCTATCTAACTAATAGGCCAATATAGCACCAATGGCCTCCCTCCTTTACCCGCGCTAACCTTGTGGGGTTTGACGCCGTTTGAGCGAGAGGACCTATTTTACCGGTCGTTATATACAGTTTATAGTGGTAATACAGTTCTATCCTATTTTATATCCACCGTTTAAGCTTTGTGCAGTCTAAAAACGGCGTACCGCTTCAGATTGTACATCGCCCCACGGTGGTACATATATATGTATCCATTTGTAGGTACTCCTGTATATATATATATGAGCGGTTAGACATAAGATTGCTGTGGGGTGGCAGACTCGTCCGTAAACGGAACTACCCGCACGTGGTCAGAACACATACGTTGCAGCTTTCTTACATCAACCGGAAGTGAGATGTTTTTAGGTGTTTTGAATTAATAATATGTTTATTAGTCTTTGTAAGATATTTTACTTTGTATATTATTTTGAGTGATTGGATATTTTTGTTATTACACTATTCGCTGAATTAGATAAACAGATATTGATTATTAGTTCATTATTCGTTTATCCCTTTATTCCTATCTACATAATATGTCAATATAGCACCAATGGCCTCCATCCTTTACCCGCGCTAACCTTGTGGGGTTTGACGCCGAATGAGCGAGAGGACCTATTTAACGGGTCGTTATATACAGTTTATAGTGGTAATACAGTTCTATCCTATTTTATATCGACCGTTTAAGCATTGAACATTCTAAAAACGGCGTACCGCTTCAGATTGTACATCGCCCCACGGTGGTACATATATATGTATCCATTTGTAGGTACTCGTGTATACATATATATGAGCGGTAAGATATAAGAATGCTGTGGGGTGGCAGACTCGTTCGTAAACGAAACTACCCGCACGTGGTCAGAACACATACGTTGCAGCTTTCTAACATCAACCGGAAGTGAGATGTTTTTAGGTGTTTTGAATTTAATAAATGTTTATTAGTTTTTGTAAGATTAACTTGCTTTGTTTATTATTTAGAGTAATTGGATATTTTTGTTATTACACTGTTCGCTGTGTTAGATAAACAGATATTGATTATTAGTTCATTATTCGTTTATCCCGTTATTCCTACCTAACTAATAGGTTCATATAGCACCATTGGCCTCCCTCCTTTACCCGCGCTAACCTTGTGGGGTTTGACGCCGAATGAGCGAGAGGACCTATTTTACGGGTCGTTATACAGTTTATAGTGGTAATACAGTTCTGTCCTATTTTATATCCACCGTTTAAGCTTTGTGCAGTATATATACCTAGCCATCCAATGAACTGCCTTTTTTCATTAGCCAATCAAAACTACTCTTACTTCCTAATTACAAAGAAATAACTAAAGCAAGTCTATACTAACGATCATTTATTGAACAAGGTAATTAACAAAGAATCAACCGCTTCAATTTGTTAAATTACATGTTGTGTGTGTGTGTATGAAAGTGTTTGTAAGCCTTTGCTTTTGTTTCACAATTATTACTATTACTATTATCCATATGTTGTAAAGCGCTTTAGAGTTATTTAACACATTAGATAGGTCGCTATATAAATGTTGTATATTACTATTATTATTATTACATGCGTTGGGATAACCAAGTGCGACAACCGAAGCCAACGGTGGGCTCACAATTCTCCAAGTTTCATATTAATATATATCGGTATTGCAATATCCACGGGTACCTAGTAAGAGAGACCGACCAGTTACTCAAACCAATGTACGTTGGCACATACTCAGGTGAGATATACTTTTCATAAAGTTATAATCAGGGATCGATCGTCTGGTTGCGAAAATATAATCAAATTGTATTTCAATCGCGGTGATATCTTGACAACAAACACCCGTCGTCTGTCTGTGATGTGACGTCGACGTTTTGCACTCCATACGAGCTTATTAAACACAAACATGCAATATACATATATTAATTATCTGGCTTCGGTAATCACACGTGATTATCCCAACCCATTAACCCAACAGTAGTAACTATCGATACGTACGTTGATCAGTTGGGGTAAGTCTCATACAGGAGGCCTCTCTATCCTCGTTCACGTTACTCTTCACTTCTTCTTGCTTTTTAACCAATCATTCATTATTTCATTCTCATTCATTCTAATTAATTGCTTATATTTAATTTAATCGAAGTTATATGTTATTTCCCCCAAATAATTTCTTTACATACATATTAATGAATTCAGTATTTGTCCCTAAATCCTACATTAATACGTTGAGATTGCAATAATTTCCTTAAAATTAGATCAAATAATCTGAATAAATGATATTAACAATGGTGAACGTAGTAATCCCCTGTCACTAATCAGATATAATCTGAAATCACTCAGAAAAAGTTGTCCACGGAAATACAATTATACAGATCTAAATGTGCCAACCAATCGTCTTGTGTCAGTGCTGGATCATTTGTTAACAGCCACCTGTCACTTAACTAAAGGATCTTTTATAGCAAAGCGTTTCCAAAAATATATTCCTGTGAATATCATTTGGTTTTTATTTCACATTATCTACGAAAACAACATAGTGTGTGTATGATATACGCATAAAAGAAAAGTAGTTTCATTAATTTTATTTGCAAAAAACAATCCAGGGCTGATGATACCATGTATGGTTTCTTTATCTTTATTATAGCAAAAATGAAAACATTAACATTCATCACAATATTTATATAAATATTTAAACAAAAATAGTCAATCCCAAAACAACTTACTTTGATCGAATACCAGTACAACATATACAACTATTTTTTTTCTTCTGTAAATGTTAAGCATCTTGCACGCTTAGAAATGCAAGGCTCCCGAAACCACCTACCGGACACATTTCAATGGTAACCATGGAATCCTATCCAAAAAACTGGCCCTAATGTTCTTTACATGCAAAATTAATAAGATTGTTCAGTGATATGTCGTCCAGTATTGGATCGGGATGAATATTGACGTTTTCGGTTGCCACTGACATGTCCCACTGATCAAGGTAGATAATTTTGTGTATTAAATCTTTCAACTCTTCCAGTAAAACCTGTTCCACGAACATTCTAATATAGGCATATGGCTTGTTAGCATTGACAAATGTGACAAGGTGAGGACCTTTAATGAAAATTTGAACATCCGGGGACCTCGTCAGAAGCCTAACAATGGCTGCCTTGGCATGGCGCACGTGCTCTCGTAGAGCTAAGTGATCACAGCACCTGGCGATGTGGGCGTACCAGTGAATGATTACAATGGCAGTACTGTTACCCGGGATTCTGTCTAGCCTATAGGCAACAGATTTAACGGTTTTCCTGTCTGACCCCGGTGTTCCGTGGAAGGGAAGCTCGTGCGGTTGCCATTCCATGTCTAATCCAAATGTAGTGGCATGCGCATGGGCGAACTTTTGCCACGAGGCTTTATTTACAAAACCTTCACTGTAATTCATTTCTAAGTAGGTTGCAAGACGGGAGAACCACTGTCTGGTTGTAGAATCACCAATCAAAATAATAGGTCTATCTCTAAGACACGTCCGATATTTGTCTTCATTTAGGTCTATAGTAGGGCGGCATATTAGGTTGTGATACACTCCCCTGCAGAGGAAGCCTGACGGTACAGTACTATTCCATGTTAAAGCCCGAGGCAATGCATTGCATGGGGTATAAGGCAGAGGGTAGTCTAAATCGCCATTGGAACCTAAAACAAGTAAAAATAAATATGTGATGTAAAACTAGTTCGATAAAATCATTTAAAAAACATTTTTATAGACGAAAATGTTTCTTATTGAGGACAATCTCTCGTTATCTACAGTTCGTTCACGAACACATCCTGAAGAACCCTTAGCTGTTAATAGGACGTTTATTAATATCAAACCAACTCATTCACTCAAAAGTAATACGTTTAATTGCTCAGAATTATTGCGTTTTAAGTACGAGTTACATGTACATATAATTGTTACAAGTATCGGGGAAAAGTTGGCCTTTTCGGAAGAGTGAAATTAATATTTCCTGGTACTCATACTGTTCCTTTGTAATAAACACGGTACGTGGTGACCTTAATTCTTGCCGTATAAGGTTGTATTGAAATCCTAGGGTTTGTAGGTTTCCTGCTTAGTGACCCTTAACCAGCAGGGTTCAACTAGTGTACATTGTAATAGCTGTTGCATGCAGGTAAAACATGTACGCTGGAAAAGGGTTTATATCGCTCGGAGGTCACAACTTCACTGTAGTGAACACTTGAACAGTGTATATACATTTTCGCTGTCTCTTCACTATAAAAACCTCGTCTATCGTTTACGGTCATAAAAAAATGAACCGAAATCAGTAGTATTACGAACGTGATCAAAACGTAAACAAACAATACGGTAGTCACGTTTGACTCTCGTGTGGAATATTTCGGCGAGATTATTCCACCATGAAACCATAGCGATAACATTTATGTCTATTAAATAACCATACTTTATACCTTGTAGACGTAAACGAAATTATCTTTTTTTTTAAATAACAATGAATCTTGTCTTCGGCCATTCCACGAGTATAATACAGTTTACCTGTAACTGAGCGAGATCGGGTTATCTCGATCGAGGGTTAAGATTCTGTAACAAATGGGATGTTACAGAATCTTAGCCCCAAACTGAGATAACCCGATCTCGCTCAGTTACAGGTGAAAATATTTTTTTCTCGCACCTTTTTGCTCGAAAAGAACTATTCAATTTTGCTAAAAGCTACAAGTATCCCGCCTTGGGCCTCAGATTATAATTACCTCTTCACTTCTAAAGCTACATTTGAATGCTTCCGCGTAAAAATGTAGACCGTCCTTACATAGATTACAACGTATTTCACAGTGTAGATTATATTTTATCTATAACATCATATATCTTACAACATCAAAAATATACAGATAACGACAAAACAGAACATTTATTTTTATTTTAACGGAAATTCTAAATTTACAATTTCAAAATTGAAATATGAAAAGATGAAAAGTTCAAAATTGAAATATGAAAAGTTGGAAAGATGACAGAGAATTAGTGAAGATACATACGGCTATATACAAAAGAAATTTATTTGTGATCACTATATTGAAACTAACATGAAATTTAACAATCCAATCAAATTTGAAAACCATAAGTAGTACAGTTTTGATAGGTCTACACAGTACTATAATAGCATGTCTATACAGTTTCCTGATGACCTGTCTACACAGTACCTTGATAACATGTCTACACAGTCCTCTCATAACATTTCTACACAGTCCCCTAATAACATGTCTACACAGTCCCCTAATAAAATGTCTACACAGCCCTCTAATAACATTTCTACACAGTCCCCTAATAACATGTCTACACAGTCCTCTAAT